GATGTGGGAATCATTTGTAAAAATGCGCCATAGGTTACCAAAGTTGGATAAAATACTGAAAGAAATACAAGAACGTGGTACAGTAAAGTCTCACACTATTTAATTTCAGATTGGAGCATTTCATATTTCGCTGTAGTATTACACAGATCTGAATTAATGAAATCTAAATAATCTGCACAGGTAGTAATCCAATTCATTATATGGATATTGTCCGAAGTTTATCCGAAACACCCAGTCATCTGAAAGGTAATTAACAAACCATTTTATTTCAATTCTGCAAAAGAGAATGGATGACTTTAGCCATTTATTTGGAGTTTTATAATCTGATAATCAAAAGTTCAGAAGCTGGGAAACACAATTCTAATTTATTGGATCATCCTTCAAATCTCAACTATTTTGTGTAGATTCAACTTAGAATTCATACAGTTTCTCCTGTAAATGTGTGGGAGTCGAATTATGTCATCAAAGGAACCTGCTGATCATTGTTATGTATGAATTTTAGACAGAGGATCCCGATAGCATGTGGAACCCTGTCCACTCTTGGCATTTGAAGATAACAACGCTTTGAGTCAGGCATATTTGATTATGTCCTTTCGATAAATTTGGAAAGTTCAAGGCTGAATTTCTGCCAGACTTCCTTGAGGCTTCAAGGCTTAGTCTTGTTACTTACAAGCTAACCAGTGATTTTGCAAAAATAACTATTTTCAAATTTACTCATGGGATGTGGGCGTCTCTAGCCAGGCCAGCATTTATTGCTGATGCCTGAGGGTAGTTAAGAGTCAACCACATTGCTGTGGGTCTGCAGTCACATGCAGACCAGACAAGGTAAGGATAACAAATTTCCTTCCCTATTCCATGTGATCTAACCCTGTCAGATGTATATATGAATAGGAAGAGTTAAGAGGGATATGGGCCCAGATATAAGCAAAAGGGGCCAGATTAATTTAGTATATTTGGTCAGCATGGACAAGTCAGACCAAAGGGTCTATTTCTGTGCTGTACATCTCTGTGACTCTCGTGAACTGGATGAGTTTTTTTTCCTCCCCCCAACAATTGAGAATGGATTCATGGTTGCCATTAGTCTTAATTCCATGTTCTTTATTGAATTCATAACTGCCATGGTGGAACTTGAACCCAGGTCCCCAGAACTTTAGCTGAATTGCTGGATGAACGGTCTAGTGATAATACCGCTAGGTCATTGCCTCCCCAAGTTGACATTAGGTCTGTGCCATGGAAGCTGGCCATTCAGCTCAAATGTTTTCGCATACCCTCTCTACCCTGTGTTGCTGTAAGCCTTCTGTTTGTTTAGCCAGCTTTCATCCATGTATTCATCTGAGCGATTCCTTTCAAAGTAAGGTCCACATTCTAAATCTGCGTAGGGTAAAGATGTTTCATCTGTATTACTTTCTGGGTTGGTTAGCGACCATCTTTATTTTTAAATGAAAACCTCTGCTCACCTCCACATTGCATCTACTCTGTCCATCAATCATATTCATGATATGAAATACCTTTATTATGTGAACCTCGCCCTTATCTCTCCTGGAGTCAGATGAGTCCGAGGTGTACAAAATGATCAGAGGTATAGATAGAGTGGACAGCCAGAGACTTTTTCCCAGGGTGGAGGTCGCTATTACGAGGGGGCATAGTTTTAAAGTGAGTGCAGGTAGATATAGGGGAGACGTCAGAGGTAGGTTCTTTACTCAGAGAGTGGTAGCGGCGTGGAATGCATTGCCAGAGAGGGTAGTGGAGTCAGCCTCATTAGAGGCATTTAAGCGGCTATTAGATAGGCATATGGATGATAGTATAAGGTAGCGGTGGAGGTTAGATAGACCTTAGGTTTAGGGTAAAAGTTCGGCACAACATCATGGGCCGAAGCACCTGTACTGTGCTGTACTGTTCTATGTTCTATGTTTTATGTTCTATTCAGTCTTCCTTGATAATGATAACCTTCCACTTCTGTTAGCACTTTTTGAACCCTATCTCTTTCACTTTGATTATGTGGAAACATAATGTTGCTGTAATGTGGTGTAATTTAAAAAAAAATCTAATCATGTATGAACCATTGGAGGGAAATTATCACCTTTGTAGAAATCTCCATGTTCAGTAATTACCAAAACTAAAAGAATTTGTATCATTTTTCTCAACCGTTCTTCAATTTCAAGTGACGTTTTCATGAACTGAGTTTGAATTTCTACACAAACCTATACTGAATCTGTGCACTAAATGCAACATTTCACTGTCTAATGTAAGCAAATTGAGACAATTTTATTTTACTTTGACATTAATATAAATAACATTGAGAACCGGTTTCCATCTGTCCTAATTGAAGGTGTACAGCAGAAACACAAGGAGACGCTCCGGGTGCAAACTGAAACACTGAGAGTGAACACTGTCCTAATAAAGGAGAAAGTGAAGGTTTTCCAACTGCTTGATCGATACATTGAGCTAACGGTCATTTCTACTGTTCGAGAACGGACACTCGTAGAAAATGAACTGCTGGCAAGGGGCCGAGACCACGAAGAGTGGAGAGAGAAACATTTCCGTCATGAGCTGGAAAAAATCTGAAGTGATCAACTGTTCCACAGCAGCTTTTCTCACAGAAAGTCTAACTCTGGAAGCTCTGCAGCAGTGAGCGGAGTCCCAGGGATTGGAAAAACGACAATGGTACAAAAGATTGTTTATGACTGGGCCACTGGGAAAATATCCCCAGAATTTCAATTTGTTTTCAGTTTTAATTTCCGGGATTTAAACTCTATTAACAGTCGAGTAAACCTGAGGAATATGATACTGGATCAGTATCCTTACTTTGGGAATGTTCTGGGAGAGCTGTGGAAGAACCCAGAGGGTTTGCTGTTTATATTTGATGGTTTGGATGAATTCAAAGACAATATTGATTTTTCTGACAGTCGGAGAAATGCAGAGCCTCAGTCCATGTACACTGATCCTGAATGCTGGTGTGAAGTGTCTGACATTGTGTACAGCTTAATTCAGCACAAGCTGCTCCCAGGATGTTCAGTGTTAGTGACCAGCCGTCCCACTGCATTCCATTTATTGAAAAAGGCTGAGATCAGCGTCTGGGCTGAAATCCTGGGATTTGTTGGTGACGAACGGAAGGAATATTTCAACAGGTTTTTTCAGGATCAGACAGTGGCAGCAGCTGTTTTCAAACACGTGGAGGAGAACGACATCCTGTACACTATGTGCTACAACCCTTCGTACTGCTGGATCCTTGGGCTGTCGCTGGGTCCGTTCTTCACACAAAAAGACAGGAGACAGCAGCAAGTTCCCAAGACCATCACCCAGCTCTATTCCTACTATATTTACAACATTCTGAAAAATCATGGCCGAGAGATTGAAGACCCACGCAACGTGTTTCTGAAGCTTGGTGAGATGGCGTTCGCAGGAGTCTGTGAGAGGAGGATTGTGTTTAGAAATGGACATCTGGTCCAATACAACTTGCGAACCTCCCAGTTCCTGTCTGGGTTCATGATGGAACTTTTGGAGAGAGACAGTTCTGTCCGCAGTGTGGTTTACACATTCCCACATCTGACCATCCAAGAGTTTGTAGCTGCCCTCGCACAATTCCTGATTGCACATCCTAAGAATATCCTGAATCTTCTCTGTGAAGCCCACAGCAAGGATGATGGGAGATTTGAAATATTTCTCCGTTTTGTTGCTGGTCTCTCCTCCCCGCAGGCAGCGCAGCCCCTGGAGAGGTTTCTGGGTCCGTTCTTTCATCAGACAACCCGTGGAGTGATTGAGTGGATGAAGGATACCCTTGTCAGATTGGCTGGAAGAGTAACGACTCTCACTGGGAAAAGAAGCCTCCTGAGGGTGTTGCACTATTTATTTGAGTCTCAGAATAAAACACTGGCTCAGGCCACAGTGGGGTCTGTGGATGTACTCGACTTTGATGAATTGCGACTGACCCCTATTGACTGTGCGGTCCTCTCTCATGTCGTTGGGTTCTGTGATTCAGTAAAAGAGCTCACGCCACAGCAATGCTATATTCAGTGTGAAGGAGTCCAGCGGCTGGCATCCATTCTGCACAAATGCCACGTCTTAAGGTAAGTGCATGTTCAGTACTTACATTTGTTGATAAACCACTTTATTGTGCTGCAAAGGAAACAAAGAAAGCACCTTTCTCAGTTCAAACAGTGGAGGCAGAGTCAGAAAATCTTTAGAAGTCAAGACGAGTGTAAAACACTGAGGTGAAAAATAAGAATGATGCCTTTGCTAACCAGTTGTTAGTCTGCTCAGCGGATTCTTGTA